TGTTTTCAATTCGAAGTTAAAGTCGGATATTCCATAACAGACAGAGTTCAAAATAGGCTATATTTGAATCAAAATCTTAACTTTCATCAGAAGTTAATTTGAATGCAAAGTAGGTAAAAGAGGATAATAAAATAGATGTTTCCAAAAACGTTCTATATAATTATGTCTGGTGGTTCAAGAATTTTATTGTCAACATTTCTTGCATTAGTCTATAGAAGGAGACACAGAGGTACAATGAGATATTTTATAGTAGTAGTTAATTGCATGTGTGTAGATTTATAGTACCAGAACTTATCCCTGTAGATAGGGTCAACTACATAAATGGGTAGATTAATTGAACAATTTGAGATAACTAATATCAGTTTTTTATTTTGCAAAAGGAAATAACAGTTACATCAGGGAGTTATAGTAAGTCATTTTAATTTAACTTTGGTAGCTCAATACAAAAGACAAATTTGGAGAGATATTATACCAGTTGAGACCGAAATCAAAATGAATTAAAGCGGAAATGTGAAGAGAATCTTTACACACAATCGTTCTTTATGTTATGTGAATCATTCGAATGGTACTAAATACAAGGTATCAAATTAGAGAGAATAGAAGAAATGATAGATTTATTATGGGGCAAAAGATACATAAAATCCAACAGTGTCTTTCACAATAAATCGGCCTAACATTAGTTCCTCAAGCGCAGACATATTCAAATAACTATTTAACCAGATTCTAGCCGTGTTATTCATGCATGTTCGGAAATAAAGTTGGACAGCTCCAAGAATATTAAAAATGAATGCACCGCAGATGAGACTTCTCGAATAAAAGATGAACATTAAAATGAAAAGAGATGGGCACACTGAAAGCTATGGGGAAAATAAAATTAAAATTAAAAATGAAAAGGAATGCGCTAGGAAGATACATAGTGCAGACGTGATCATAAAGATCCAGGGACTAGAGCAATTGATTTTGGGAAAAAACATGAAAAATTCAGGTTTGATTTAGTGAGAGGATTATTTCTAATATATTGGAGTTTGATTTACAAATAGTGATGGGGGAGGACAAGGATTGACTGTGTACATTAACAGTAAATGTGTAAATTGTAATACAGAAAAATCCTTAAATATCCCAAAGTGGTCATTGAAAGCCTTTTGTGTAGACGAGGGCGTATTACATAGCGAGTTCAAGCGGATATAAAACAATATTTGGAGAAGAAAACTCCTATCTAAGACCTAACTAAAACACTACACACAAGTGCAAAAGGAGTTGCCACGTTAGATACTCGTAGCAAGTCTTTGTAATCAATCATACATATAAAAATAGCAAATGTTGCTTACATTACAACATTAACATAGTTACAGCAATCATCAACAAATCATAAAACATATGCTGATAGGCAACAACTAGAGGAAGATGCACTTACCTCGAGATTGCCTGATATCGGGGACGCATGTAAATGGCTGTGCAGCCACTTCCTTGTTCTCATGTGCTGCAATCTAATGATGGTACCACTCTTAATGGAATCACCTTGTTTAGCATTAGTTCCTGGCTGAGGTCTAACAATCTACAAGACAACGCATATATCTAAAGTGAATACAAAAACCAAAGGCTACAGAGCAAATTTTAAAAAAATTAATTATAAAACACGGATCTACACTGTCATCTAATCATAAATTATCATACAATAAAAAAAACTGTTTACCACTGTAATGGTTACTTGTTAAAGTCACATTTAGGATAATTCCTAACCTAAATATTAAAAGTCAGAACTAAACTCAAATCTCCAAGGTAATGCAGCAATCGTGGCACTCAAGTCGTTACAAAAACATAACCTTGTTTTTTTATTTACTTACAAATCACAGTCCATGTAAGAAAAACCATATGAATAAGAAAGCTACCCAGTAACTATTGGAATCGTCAACATTAGGGAAACCAGTAACCGATTGTTGTCCACTGCCAGAACCGTAGGGCACGTCATGAGAATGCAACCGAAATTTGGTCTTCTCGTGCATAAGCTTCAGCACCGTGCCATATGTAATCTGAACCTGCACAATTAAAGATCAATCAGCGAGAAAGTATTTATTAATCAACATTTATTGTTACTTATTGAAAATTTGCATCGGAAAATAAAACATTAGATTTCGCCAGCGACGAAACGGAAAAGGAAAAGAGAAAGTGAAACCTCGACGCCTTCGGAGGAAGCAGCGGAGGCAGAGGCAGAGGCAGCGGAAGAAGGAACAACGTCAGAGTCGAGAGTGATGAAGAGGAAGAGAGCGAGGGCAAAGAATCCGAGAGCCATGACGAAGAGCAATGTGATAAACCAGTTCTGCGCCCAGATCGGGAAATCAGATTCCGAGGTGCTCCGCGACTCCCGGTAAACGATCCGGGTCGACCCGGAAGTTTGTTGCTGAGACGGTGACGAAGAAGAAGCCTTTCTTCGAGAGAGGTTCTGCGACCCTGAGGAAGCCACGGTTCGACCCGATTTACTATCCAGATCGAAAGAGAGGGGAAGAGAGTATTCACGTCCCTGCCAAACGAACCAAATTTGCTTTGCTTTGTAAATGGCCTCTGCAAGGTCCCCAACGCGGACCGGGAACGACACGCTAGTTTACTTTGTTCCACGCTGGAGTCTCGGAGACACGTTGCTCTACGATCTCTTGCCCAATATAAATTTAACACGTGGCTTTTTGCATGACGTGGAAGCCCACTACTGGTTCAAATTCTCTACCCCCGATACGCTTAGGTAGTAATGTTGGGCTGTTTCTTGTTTTATGCTTTTGTTGCTTTTCGCACCTATTTTTTCTTAAGCTACCTCCTTTTTCTTTTTCTGTAGTCGTTGCAAAGACAATTGAATTATAACAAAATAATACTTATTTAATATATACTCTGTACAAGTTTTAAAAGCATAACAAGAATATTGGTTTGATAGAATTTTGTCTAAATTAGATATTATAATTTTGTCCCGTGTTGTGTGCTTTTTTTTAAATGTTCAAAGGTATTTTAAATTAAAAAGTTAAATTGAATAAATATTCACTCTTAAATATATTGTGAAGTAAACACATTTTAACAATATATATATATATATATATATATATATATATATATATATAAAATATTAAATTATTTCAGATAACTGAATGTTTAACATTGTTGAAAATAACACCACTTAACATAATTTTAATAAATAGTTGTGTTTCATAAAAATTAAATTCAAAATTTACAAATAAACAAAACAATTCATTCATTTTAAAAAAACACTCACAAGATACAACATATTCACGAAAAATAAGAGCGCACTATTAGGATTCATATTGACGAGAAAACTGCCTAATTCAAATTAAATTTGATACTCTAAACTTAACTTTTTTTTCATTTAATATGTATGATTTTTATTTATCTTCTTGATCTTAGGTCTTAGACTCTTCTTCGCAATCTGATCGGTGGTAAAACTATGCTGAAAAATTAGTATAACATTATGTTTATTTGAATCACAAATCCGATTACAACTGATTAATTATATACTTTAAATTAACATATTTCTTTTTACTGCAATAGCATGTTTATTTATTTTTCCTTAAAAATAAAAGCTGCAAAATATATTTTATTTTTTCGAAAATATTTCCGTTACTTTTATTTTTTAGTATTTTGGTTTTATGTAATATACGTTTAATGTTATTTAATATATTATTTAATTAATAAATTTTGATAATATCTGTTTAATTATGATTCAAATTTTAATCTTACCATGATTGTCTTAATAATGGTTTGATTTGTTAGTGGATGGATGTACATGTGCATTAAAGATTGAATTTTGATAGGAATATAAATGTTTTAAGAGTTTCTATTTAAAAACAATTTATTTTTAGTATTAAATTTAATTAAGTTTTTGTTACAATAATTTAGATCTATTATTTTTAATATTAATTGAATCTCAACTAATTAAGTAAGAAGTCATTGTACTAAAATAAATATTAAGTATGTACAAAAAATATAATTAAAATAAACATTTTATAAATTATTATATCAAAACTTAAAGAATAATATTTTAGTCGTATTTTTATTAGAGACTATTTTTTATATTAAAGTTTTATAAAAAAAGAGTTTATTACATGCCAGCTGAAAAAAACTTGTCAGTTAAACAACTTAAAATTCCAATTTTTCTATACTCATTAAAAAATGCTCAAATTAAATTAATTAAAAATAGTTCACATTGTATTTTTGTTTGTTCTTTTTATTGGAACATATATTAATTATTGACTATTAATACAAAATTTTAAATGATCAACTAATGAAAAATATTTTAAACGTGAACTTTGTAACACGCTAGTGAAAGCAGATGCTGAGTGTGTGTTATATTTTTTAAGTTTAATACCTGTTTCGTCCCTCCATTTATTAGATGTGTTTAAATTGGTTATTTTTTTCTCAAAAATTCATAAACGTCCTATGTTTTGTAAAAAATAGTTCAAATTAATCATTTTTCTTACGGCGTTGTGACACTCTAAAATGAATTGAGGTGTCAATTTTAAAAATTAAACTTAATAACATGGATTACCATAGGTGGTGGACAAAAATATGGGTACGTATTTTTCCAGACAAACCGGTTATAGTAAGACCTACTGAAACACGTATGGGTTCAGGAAAAGGATTTCCCGAATATTGGGTAGCTGTTGTTAAACCTGGGAAAATACTTTATGAAATGGGTGGAGTACCAGAAAATATAGCAAGAAAGGCTATTTCAATAGCATCATCCAAAATGCCGATACGAACTCAATTCATTATTTCAGGATAATAAAAGAGAACCAAAGGAAATAGGTCTTTAGAATGAAAAGAAAAAAGGCAATTATAGGTTCCTTTTTTTTTTGAACACAAAATATTTTTACTTCCTTTTTTAGTATTTTAGATTGAAATAATAAAAAAATGATATGATTCAACCTCAAACTCAGCGTTGTTGGAGGACATGGTTCTCACGACGGGAAAGAAGTCGGTGGAGTGGAGCACGCCGATCCTAAATGCTCGAACGCGCCGATCTCCTCCACCCTCTGAAAGCTTCCCTGGGCTCCCCCTTCAGCTCCAACCCTCTCTCTCCCAACCCCAACCCTCTCATCATTGTCATCAGCGGCTCCAACGGCGTTGGCAAAGAAACCCTTATCGCGCGTTTTCGTGAGGCCCGTCGCGGCCTCCGCTTGGTCGTCACCGCCACATCGTGCCCTCGTCGCCCCACCGAAATCGACGACAAGGACTACCTCTTCGTCTCGAAGGAGGTGTTTCTCGGGATGGTGGAGCGGGAGGAGTTTCTCCAGTACGCCCTCGGGTCGATATTCAGGGCGCCGCCACGTGAGATAGAAGATTAAGCTTTTGAAGAATTTTGATTATGTTGTGGTGAATGCGAAGGGGAAGCTGGAGAATGAAGTGAAGTTGATGAAGTCTATTATTGATGCCGAGAAAGTTAGGGTTTCGCACTTAGACAAAGGGTTGAGGGTAAATGAACTCTGTGAAACATTTTCTTTTATTGATTTCATAAATTGTTCATTGTGGAAGATTGGTCATTGGTGTTTTTGAGGGAACGATTATTCCCTTTTTGCAACCTCAATCCTAAGATGCTCATTCTTTCACAAATTGGTTTGTGTCTCCAATTTTTCTCATCAAAATTTCATTGCCTTCTTTGCCGGAATTGAATTTGTACCTTCAACGAGCCACAAATCACAAATTGATTTTAACCTAAAGGTAACGAAGGAGAAGTTGCGACGGAGGTTGTAGTATGATTCGATATTCAATATGACTGATTAATGGTGACGAGGGTTATAGTGATGGCAGAAAAAGGAGAAGTGTGATGAAGCTTCTAGTTTTGAGTGGAAAAGAGACTGCCACGTGGTAGTCTCTCACTGGCTGAGTTTGTCACGCAATGACTAATTGGAAAGATAATTTAGATTTGGCCAGAGAGCAACTCTGTCATTAGTATTTTTAACCATAAGCAGAAAAGATCAACTTAAACTATTTTTTATAAAACATGAGACGTTTATGAATTTTTGAGAAAATAATGACCAATTTGATCACATCTAATAAACCGAAGGACCAAAACAGATATTAATTTTTTTTATAATAAAAAATAAATAAACTATAATTATAAAAATAAATAAAAATAAATTTATAATTTAATTATAAATACTTTTTATTTTTTTTGTAGATATATTTTATTTAGTATATAATTTTTATTTATTTAATTTTAAAAAATTAGTTAAATTTAAAAAGTGATTAAATTTTAAAAATAAGTTAAATTTAAATAAAACAAAAACATGAATGACAAAATTAAAAATATGGACAAATAAAAGAAAATCCCTTATATATACATATACATATACATATATATATATATATACATATATATATACATACATATAAATATATATAAATTTACCAAACAGAATAGTGTATGACTAAATAATATTACAAAAACATTCTTACCATGATTATATGTTAACTAACTAATATAACTACAGTTAAAAAGTAATTATTTTATTTTACAAATATTTCTTGAGTACTCATTACACGTATATACAAAGATGCATATAAATAAATATTATATATATATAAATTCAGTTTTCCTCTCTCAGAAAAATTGTAAAGAGACAAACAAACTTTATTTTCTCTTTTTTAGATTTTACTTTTATTATTGTTGTGTATCTATCCCGTTTTTCATTATCAGGAAAAGGGGGGGAAAACAAAAAAATCAAAGAAGAACCCTAACATCGTCCTTCCATATTCTATTCTCAAATCAGATTTTGGATTGGTGTGATTTTTTAGGGCATTAATGGAGTGAAGCATAAGAAAGTGGCGAGAGTCCCTGTAAGACCAGAAAAAGCAGAGAGGACACAACCAATGGCGTCTGCAGATAAACGATTGGAAGAACAACTTCTCGAAGCCGGTAACAAGCTCGCAAACCCTCCGTCTTCTGCAGAGGAGCTTCTCTCACTCTTAGAGGTAATTCCTTTTCCTTTCAAATGCTATTTTAACTATTGTTTTCATGATTATTGAGATTTATTTTGGGGTGTTTATTTTTTATTTTTTAAATACGAGTTGTTTGTTGCATGTCGTTCCTGTCTCTCGTCTGGAAAAGGCAAACTTGTTGCTGATATTGTTTGGCTTTGATGCTTTGTTAGATTTTGTTGGAAACAACGAGTACATGGAATTTTTTATTTCAGTTATTATTCTATAACATCATCTGGTTTGGGTGTGATGGCGTAGGGGTCAGGGGTATGTGTCATGTTATAACAGACATCCTAATATAATATAATCATATCATATGTATGCTGTTTTCCCTTAATGAGTTATGAGATTTTAACTGGTAATGGTAAGCTATGATTATAATAAAAGTCGGTGTTATTGAGTGTTTAGGTAGGGATGTATGAGATAGACCATGGAAGTGAAGAAAACTGAATAAGGCCCAGAAATATGCGATGTTCAGTTTTTATCAATTGTTGATTACTGGTTCGCAGGTTAGTTTAGTAATTGATAGTTTGGAGTGGTGCCAACTGCCAATAGTGATGCCAGGTGTGAGGATGTCGAACTTGGTTGTAGTAGTGTTGGCAGGGGTGTTGCAACCGTGGAGGGGATTCTTATGTGAAATTGAAGAAAGGGTTACAAAAATCTTAAAAAATAAAACTAATTATACATTCAGATTTTTTCCGTTCCCTTGTAAATAATTATGTTCTGCAATAAAATTTTGGAACTTTTGGATCATAGAAAATATATATACTTCAAGTCACATGGAAACCATTTGATATGATCTGGTATATTTCTGGGTTATATATATTTTCTTGATCTGGACAATTTAATAGCATATTTATAATATCTTTTTGAGTTGATGGTTAAGACTAAACTATAGCTGTGACATATTTTTCATTTATAGGTTTTGCATTTCGTGAATACAACTTTTTAAAACAGGATAGTTTAGAAAGGAAGTAATTTATATTGCAAAACATGGTCCAATATTGCTATGCTACAACAGGGTTTGATCACAAGTGTAAAATTAGCAATAATCCTCTGTCAATAGTTTTTGTTGGTGGCCAATATACCATATTCTGAATTTCGAGACTCTTCATATACATATGTGGTTGTGTTCCCTTGCTGACATTGTCTTTATGTTTTTTTTATGCTATTTACTAAACACTTTATGTAATAGCTGATCTTACATAAATCTCAAGTAGTCAGGTGTTGGATTGACATTTCAGTTGCATGTTCTTACATACTTTGGTTGCCCTATCAGCTTTGTTGGTGTCTGGGTTTCTAATTTTTTGAGCTATTTATCATGTATTGTAAATTACAGCAGTGTGAAAGACCGGCATTATTTAATGTCTCCGAATCCAGGCAATTCAGGGAAAGGTTTATTTCATAGTTTTTTGTTTTTTGTTTTTTATTTTTGGAAAATCCTTTGACTACAGCATGAGTTTGAACTTTGAAGTCAGGTGTAGCTGAAAACTTCCTTTCTGATAAAAGATATGCGATTATGAAAAATAGTCCTAACCAAATGGCTAGTCAAATTATTAATTTTTTTAATTTTATATATTGTATTTTCCTTTGGTCTACAGCAAGTAGAAAGTTGCCTGTCAAGGGTTGAACAGTCACCAACAGTTTCTATGCAAAATGCACTCTCTCCATCATTGAAAGCAATGGTTGGTGACCAACTTTTAAGGCACTCAGATAATGATGTCAAGGTTTCGGTTGCCTCTTGCATCAGTGAAATAACAAGAATCAGTGCACCTGATGCTCCTTATGACGATGATCAAATGAAGGTGTGTGGAATTTTCATACCACAATTTATGAATGCACTTGACAATTATCATACTCTTTATGAAAGGTATCATTAAATCAATTGAATCTTATCATGACTTTCTCTTGCAGGAGGTCTTTCACTTGATAGTATCTTCACTTGAAAATTTGCATGACAAGTTAAGTCGATCATATGTCAAGAGAATCTCAATTCTGGAAACTGTTGCAAAAGTCCGATCCTGTGTGGTAATGCTGGACCTTGAATGTGATGCCCTGATTTCGGATATGTTTCAACATTTCTTGAAAGGTGTAAGGTAGGATTATAGTATCGGATTTCACCAAGTTCCCTGTTGTCACAACTTCAAAATTTAATTATCTCGTCCTATATTTTTTTTTCTTAAACTTAAAACATGATTTGATTTTTATGATCTTTTACCGTATAGTCTGTGAACTATTTTAGTGCCTTTTATTTTTTTCCTGCTTGGTACCTTATGAACATTTACTAACATGTGTGATGACTGATTACTTCCTTCAGTGTATTTTTACACTTTAGTGCAAAAATACTTTAAATTTGACGATACCCAAATACCAGAACAAAGCTGTCTTTATCGTATACCCTCTTGATAATGAAGGAATCAGTATCTTAACTTGAATCAAGCATTTTTATTGGACTTGGCTACAATATACCTTTTCACTGAAGACCAACAAAATATGATGATATAGCACATCAACCTTATTATCAGTTATATTAAGGAAAATTGAAGGTATAATAAGAAAAATATTAATAAAACTATAGGCAATATATTAATATACATCTGTGTCCTGATTCTTAAACAATTGTTCAATTAGTGTATTGCATTGAACGTAATGCTTCTACTTGTGCAACTTAGTTACATATATGCAAATGCATTTTTCCAGAGTTAGACAAACATAAGGATAGGGGCATGGTTTTTTGATCAGGTTTATTTTGTAAATTTCAGGGAACATCATCCAGAAAATGTTGTTTTGTCCATGGAAACAATTATGACCGTTGTTGTCGAGGAAAGTGAAGATATATCCTTAGCCCTGCTGTCCCCACTACTGGACAGCATTAAGAAAGACAATGAGGTTGGCAGTTACTATTTCATCCTTTTTAGTAGTTTGTTATTTTAAACCTGAACCATGTTTTTGTCGTTCAAATTTTATTGTTGTCATGATGTTGATAATCATTGAAATTTAGGAAGCTTTTCCAATTGCCCAAAAATTGGGGGAGAGGGTTCTTGAAAATTGTGCAACCAAGCTTAAACCCTACTTGGTTCAAACAGTGAGATCCTTGGGTGTATCTGTTGATGATTATAGTGCTGTGCTTGCTTTAATATGCCAAGATACATCTGATGATTTGGAAAAGAATGATACATGTGTGACTAGTGAGCATGCGGTAAGTTTTCTGTCGGTTTTTTGACGACTAATGTTTGAAACATTTTGTGATGAGAGCATTCATGAAGTTTTCTTATGGTCATTTTGACTTTTTTCAGGAAGATAAGAGCGATTCAGAAAAACAGTCACTGGAGAAGTCAACACATGTATCTCCTTTAATGCTCCTGTTTTTTGTGTGCTGTTTTAGTCTTTTATTTTCCAGAATTGACACTGGAATATGGCGTTGTTTGAGCAGGTGGTTAAAAAGGATTCAAGGGAAGTTACATCCTCTCAACGAGGAAATCCTGATGCAAATAAATCTCCTAACTCAGGCATGAGCTATGGTATTGCATGTGTTGGAGAAGATACTGCTTTAGCTTATTCCAGTCCCATTAAAAAGAAAGAGGATGCTGATTGTTCCAACCACTCTGAAGGTTTGAATATATCTGGTCATGAGGTGGGTAGTGATTTGGACACCAAAAAGGTTGACAATAGTAAACAAAAGGCAGGAAAAGCTACCAAGAGACCACGAAAGAAATCAAGCTCTTCTACTAAATTGGCAAAACCTTCCAAGGATCAAGTTGCTGCTAATGAGAAGGAAGCTGTGAAAATGCTTGACTGTGAAAGCAACAGTAAGATAGTTCCCAGTTCCCCTCACAAGGAACATTTTGTTGAAGTAGCAGGACCTTCAGACAGTAATAAAGAAATGGATGCTAAGATTTCATCACCAGTGGCAGTAAATGACGAATCTGAAGTGGTTGCTTCTGCTCCAAGTGAGAGCCTCAATGATGAAAATCGCTTGAAGAAACTTGGACGATCAACAAAGGAAGATGACTCTGTAAAAGAAGGCGCTGCATATGATGTTTCTAAGGTGGCTGGAGGAGCTAGTGATTCAGAAGCCAAACCTGTGACGCGGTCAGTGAAAAAGGCACTAGGTCAAAAGTCTTTGAAAAAAACTAGTGTGGTAGATTCTGTAAAAAAAGAAAGTGGGGCAATAAATAATGCAGATGCTAAGAAATACTCAGCAAAGAAATTAGAAGAAAACAAAAAGGGTAGTGGTGGATCCTCCTCTAGGCAGGCGGAAGACAGGAAAAAAGGAGGGCGTGGAAAAGCTAAGACTGAGACAGATGTAGCAAAGTCATCTGCTATGAATGTGGACAAAGTATATTTTTTATGTTTTATACTGTGCTTACTTCTTTGCTACTATTTGTCAAGATTATTGCTACATGATTTTATTCTACTTTGTTCTTTCTTAAAAGTAAAACACTAAAGGAATCATTGTTAATTATTTAGGAAATAGTTACTACTCCGAGGTCTTGTACAAAATCTGCCAAAGATGCAAGTTCAGAGGAGACTCCCAAGGCAAATGTGAAAAGGAAACTTACTTCAGGAAAAGAAAATGTATGTATCCCGTTTTTGTGTGAACTTTTAAATTGTTATTGATATGTTAAGGTTATACACATTGGGGAACTTTTTTCTCTGGAAAAGTCTTTTATCTGGCATGTTCCAGAATTTCATTGTCTTCTTGCATTGATTTCCAATTAACTTTCTGTTGTATCAGGAGTATGGTACAAAGGAATGTGGTGAAAACCTTGTCGGTTTACGGGTCAAAGTTTGGTGGCCTAAGGATCGTGAGTAAGTACTTGGCATGTCTTCAAATTTTCATATGCTGTCACTGTAAATCTTTTTAAGAAGTAGCAGGGAAGTGCTTCGTACTGTTTTACATTTCCTTTTAAATTTTAATAAGTACTTCTGCAGCATATGATTGTCTGAGCTGTGTGAAGTACACATTTATAGTTCTTAATCTGGACTAATGTTGCTTTGTTTTCAATGATAGTGATATTTTTGTTATGCATATTACATATTTACAATGACAATTACTACATGTATCTTTGTGTACAGCTTTTTGTTGAAGTTATTGTGGTCTTGATTTCCCTTCTTGTCCCACACACTTTTTCTTAATTTATTTTGACAATTTATGTATTGGACTTTGACTTTCTAATTACACAAAAAAAAGCTTGTATCTTTTTTAAAATTTATTGTGACTAAGTTTTGATATGAAATACATTGACATAGTATCTTTTGAATTAAAATAGTGTATATCATCATGCACATTCTATTTATGATTAGTTTGCTTGTTCAAATTGATGTAATGGAAACATTTAATATATATTTTTACTGACATTTAATCTGTTGCAGGTTTTACAAGGGTATTATTGATTCTTTTGATTCTGCAAAAAAGAAGCACAAGGTGATTTGACTGTTTGTTAAGTCTCCTCTTTACCCTTACCATCACTGACAAAAAGCTTTATATTCTTTTTGTTTTTCTGTGTTGCACTGCCATTTAAGTATCTTTAACGTTTGCTCTATACTCTAGATGGCTTAATATCTTAGTTGGATGGGGGATTACATTCATTAGTATTATTTCAAATTGTGAAAAAAATGCAACATTCTACTACTGCTATGGCCCATTTGTTTGAGCCACTTTTAAAGAGAAAAAGTAAAATGCATTTTTTAAGTTGAAAAAAAAAATTCCATCAGAGTTAGTTAATGTAGTCGGTAGTTAAACTTGTTAATTTGTACTATTTTACCAAAACTATCCTTCTGATTATTTGGGACTCATCAGATTTAGGTAATTTTTGCTGTCATCTTCTCTGATTAACACAATAGAGAATATATTTATCTTCTTATTTTATAGTATTTATATGTTTACTACAAACAATTTAAAGTAATTTAGTGTATTTTGGTAAAATAATTAATGCAATAAACAATTGGAAGACTTTTTAAGAAATCGACAAAACTTTCTTAAAATTTTATCTTTATGACACAATAAAAAGGAAGTATCTGGAAATGTTTTTTTTTCTCTCGAAAATAAAAGTAAAACACAATGGAAAGGGTAGTCATTTTAGTGTTTTTCTTATTAGCTGGAATGAGTAGCTCGCGATCATAAATCTTTTCTGTACACATTTTTCAAAGCTTGTCCAAATACAGGCTATTTTATCTTCTGGCAACTATTCTGTATTTTAGGTATCGTATGATGACGGTGATGAAGAAATATTAAATCTAGGGAAGGAGAAATGGAAGGTCATTGATAAGGATTCAGATGCAGATGAGGTTGGTCTATGCGTTGCCCTTTTACACCAATTTTTCTGCTTATAAATTAACACCGACTTTTCTGCTTATAAATTAATAACAACTATTTCTATGGACAGGAAGATCGGAGTGATCGTGCAAGTCTTGATGCTTCCATTGATATGTACGTGCTGCATATTGTTAATATAAAATTTTGTAGATATACTGTATGGATGTATTATCTTATATTTTTCAGGCATGTTTATATGGAGCGCGTTGTGTGTATTGTGGTGACCTTTTTTCTGAAATTATGTCTCTGATGTTGGCTTAGTTGGTGCTGTTTGTGTTTGCTACTGATTTGCTGGATACTTTTTTTTAAAGAAAGATACCATGATACTTTTTTTATATATATGTTGTGAATTATGATTTGTCCTATTTGTTCTGAACCAGTCTTCCTCTCCCCTTGCTTTCTAGTCAGTCATGGTGTGTTTTGTATTTGATCTTCCAATCATGGTTGTGGTCTTTAATTATTGAAGGTTGAACATTGAGAGCATCTAAATGTTGTGAATTTTCATATAGATTAATATATTGTGTTGAATGCTAAAGGAAATATTTTAAAAATAAAAAAACTATTGTTATCCTTTAATTTAAAGGAAACAACTGTCTGTTAAGAGAGAGATTGAAAAGTCTCATATTGTTGGAGTTGGCTCTCTGTATATTGTGAAGTAATTGGGCTATCTCCTGTCCATTGGTTTGATTTGTATCAATTAAGAGTGTTCCACTTCTTAACAAGTGTGATAATAGATCTTTTGTTCTTCCTTCGTTTTGAAGGATTTCAACTGTATGTTTCTTATTTAGTGCTCTTTTTGTGAATTCTCTTTGATGTTGTGGCAGACATGGATTTCTGTTTCTTTATTTGGTCTTGTTTACCTTGCATTGTTCTCTGATCCAATTCAGGCAACCAAAGAAGAAAGGGAAAACAAGTGATGGTGAAACCACCAAGCAGGGAAAGATGGATGTTTCTTCCAAAAGGTCTTTTAATATCAATTTATCTATTTTAGTGCCACCTCTTATTGGATGTCTAAATTTTTTCACCAATTTGCAGTGGTGGAATAAAGACGAATAGTAGATCAAAAAGTGTATCCCTGAAGTCTAGTCAAAGGTCCAAAGATGGCAACAAATTGAAAGATTCCATGACAAATAGCAAATCTGGGGATGGAGTTAATAAAAAATCTAAGGAAGACACTCCTAAAAGTTCTAGCAGTAAATCCATTGTTGCTACTAAAATACTGAGTAAGAAATCGAAAAATACTGATACTTCCAGGACTGGGGAATTAAATGATGACTACAGTAGTGTGCCAAAGCCGTCTTCCAAGTCTAAGCTAGAAATTCTAAAAAGTGGAAAATCCAAGAAAACAACCCCAAAGACTGCCGTTTCCAAAGAAAAACCTCTCAAAAGTGGTGGAAAGGCTGATGTTAATGGTACCGGCAAGGTGAAATCTGATTTATTGAAGATAAAATATTTTGAGAATGATAATTCAGATGTTTCAGAAGGAAAGCTAAAAGATGCCAAGGTAAAGACTTCAATTTCGTCTAAGGCACAAGGAAGTAAGGTCAAGAGTGGAAAGAAGCGTAGGAGAAGCTAGATGTTGGAGTTTTTCATGCTGTTTATTCCTTAATTGGGTGCTTTTATTCGTATCCTCATAGCATTTAACTCTTCTTTCTGTGGCTGGAGTGATCAAATGAGTTTAAGCATGTATAAGGTAGCTGTCCATCATTTTGTGGTAATTATCCTAATGTTAGTACTGTTATCTTTACTAATTAGTTAGACTAGTTTAGTTATAGTACGAGTAATCTTTAACACAAAAATATTTGGCTTTCTTTCAAACATTGCTGACTTCTTACACAATCAAATCAAACAGTATTTGCAGTGCTTATTACTGAGCTATGGCTATTATTTACTTAACAGCATAATTGATGTGGTGGAAGCTATTAAAGTTGGTCAGTTGGGGACCCTAACCCTTTGTCTGGTAATTGGTAGAGAAAATGTGGGAAGAGATGAAAGAAATCAATGGGGGAAAGAAGTATTAACTTATCAAGGGAGGGTGAAAATTGAAAGGAAAGAAATGAGATATTTTTTATATGTACCTCTTCTCTTATTCTTCATAAGTAAGAATTGCATGCTCTTTTTAATTACACTCAAATTTAGGTGGTACTCTTTTTATTCAAATCAAATACCCATTTTTTTTCTCATCTTTTATTTATTTTTATTTTCTATTTCTTTCAATTTTATGTAATCACATAGCACTTTAAGTGGAACAAATTCTTTGTACGGATTAATTGATCTCAATTTGCAAGATTGAGACTTTATGGATACAAGTGGCATATTTCTTTGATAAAGTCTTTCAATGATTGTAGATAAATGGTGAGAAAAGAGACAAGATATGTGAGAAATATAGGATAAGGTGTGTTCACTTCAAGGAAAGTGATGGAGAAAATAAATAATATATATTGGTATATTGTAGAGATATAGTCAATAAAATATTTGTGTAGGGACGTCAAATAATTTTTTTGAAAGATTTGGACAAAATGAACTTTGAATAATGGAATCGACTTGATCATCAGATTTTTTATTCTAAGTTCATAACTCTAGCCCATTCCCATTTTGGACGGAGCATATCTATTAATTCTTTGATTCCAGTTATTAAGGTAAGAGTTGAACTAAGAAATAGATTCTAGAAGCTAAAAAAGGGTATCCTGAGCAATTTCAATAATAGGGAAGGATGAATAGTTCCCGAAAAGGAATATATTGATTCTCTCCCAATTGCTTGGACTATAGGTGCGATGATTTACTTCACGAGCGAGGTCTCTGGTTCAAGTCCAGGATGGTCCAGCTGCGTCGAGAAAAATAATAGAAAACTGACTTGACTCCTTCATGCATGCTCCACTCGGCTCGGATGTAACATCCCAATATCCCACATTGGATAATTCATAATTTATATATTGTAACATTACATTTA